TGTTGTTTAGTCATTTAGTCATGTCCGACTCTTCGTGACCCCATGGACCAGAGCACGCCAGGCACTCCTGTCTTCCACTGCCTCCCGCAGTTTGGTCAAACTCATGCTGGTAGCTTCGAGAACACTGTCCAGCCATCTCATCCTCTGTCCTCCCCTTCTCCTTGTGCCCTCCATCTTTCCCAACATCAGGGTCTTTTCCAAGGAGTCTTCTCTTCTCATGAGGTGGCCAAAGTACTGGAGCCTCAGCTTCAGGATCTGTCCTTCCAGTGAGCACTCAGGGCTGATTTCCTTCAGAATGGCTAGGTTTGATCTTCTTGCAGTCCATGGGACTCTCAAGAGTCTCCTCCAGCACCATAATTCAAAAGCATCAATTCTCTGGCGATCAGCCTTCTTTATGGTCCAGCTCTCACTTCCATACATCACTACTGGGAAAACCATAGCTTTAACTATATGGACCTTTGTCGGGACACTAAGCATCATCAAGTCCTGCAATGCAGGCATATACAGCTGTCCCATACGGGGATTGAACATGCGACCTTGGAGTTATCAGCACTACACTCTAACCAAGTGAGCTATCCATCTGAAGTCTGAAGTACCATGTCTCAACACTCTAATTTCCAGTTTGGGGTCCCAGGTATTCCCATGACTAGTACAGGCTCCAGGTTAGAGCCCACCCCCGACCAAGTGCCCTTGTTATGCTGATGGCCCTCCTTGTCCTGTTTTGGGCCTGGAGATGTTTCCCTGGAGCAAAGTGGAGGCAAGCAAAGCTGGTCATCCCATCGCTAAGGAGAGTTCTTCTCGGGGAGCAACTTGGTCCGACGACAGATGGGACCAGATGAAGTTTTTCATGCCTTGATATTCAGAACTCACCCACGGTTTCTGACCCCTCTTTGAAAAATGGAAAGCCTTAAAGCAGCAGAGGGGAGCCTCCAACCTAGAGGCTGAATGCCATCCTTGTGGTCTCTCTGTCTGGCTCATGGCACTCTCCCCAAGCCATACCTCTGCTTTGCAAAGCATTGTTTTAGCCTGCCCAGACTGTGTTCTTGAACATGGTCGCCTGGATCCATGATCGAGTGGGGTGTGCATAACGTGGGTAGAAACAGGTCTATTGTGCAAAGGTAAAAAGTCGCACAAATCTCTGAGCCCAGATTTGCCCCTTGCGTCACCCAACACTGATATGTGGCCTCCAGAAGATTACCCCCCCCCCAGGCTGAAAAAGACCTGGCCTGGAGCCTACCACTCAGTTAACTCCCCAGAAACTCATGTTGGACACACAATCTGCATTGGTACTGCTGGCTACGTATGAGGTCATTTGAAGCACATCTGCACGTCTTTTACTAGACTACAGTCTCTAGTTCAGACTCAGGAGTCCCTAGCTCAGGGAAATCTGGCATCCAAGTTCCAGACGTCTATGAAATCTTGGGCTTGGTGTTCTCCAGTTTAGTGGTGGTACTTGGGTCTAGTGCCTTCTGTGTTGGCACCACAGATCTCCACACCTCTGAAGCTCTATCCAGATTAGGGCTAAACTCCAGAATAATGTTGCCCCCTCGCCCACTCCCTCACTCTCTTGTCCAGCCCTGGGTTTACCTGTTGGCAGAAGCAGAACCTGAGGAGTATCCAAAATTGTAAGTTACCACAGTGCAGCACTATGCTGGCCACTCATGGGCATTGTGGGAAATTCGAAATGGCTGGCTTCCAATACTTCCAGGTTGCTCCCACCCAGACCCATCTCTATAGAATATCTACATATTCCACCCAATGGGATTAGGGAGACTGTGGAGAGGCATTCTGGTGACTCTGCTTCCACTGAAGGGTTGTGTCATCAGTGATACACAATCTACTTCACCACTGAGACATCAAATAGCCTGAAGAGACACAATGAAGCAATTTTACTGCTGAAGCTAAGGAGGTACATCCTTGTAAGGTTTCATGGGAAGAGAAACCTGCAAGCTATACTGAAGCTTTCTAAGGGTAAAAGTGTAAGGCAAATGTTTGTTTTTTTAATGAGAGGGAAATAGAGTAGAGAGCCTGGAGCAGCTCTAGGCAATATATAAATGTGGCATCAGTTATCTTTCGGGTGGCTTTGCCACACACACTGCTAGTACCCAAGCAATTTCATGGCTGTTTGAATGATTCGCTATGAGCCTGGACTGCCATTTTGAATGCTACTGCAATTGTGTAGCATGAGCGTCAGCAAACAAAATGGCTGCGTGTGGAATTTGGGGGGGTGTCTTTGGCCTTGTAATCACAACCAAGGGGACCAAAAGTGGCAAAACACACACACACACACACACCCTATGGAGAGAGAGAGAGAGAGAGAGAGAGAGAGAAGATGGACATGCCAGCTATAGCCTTCCTTCTCTCAAAAACATGAGAATATAACATTTTCCTTTTTTTAAAAAAAAGGAATGTTGTTAATATGTATCTAACATTCTGTGTTAAGGTTGAATGTTACCAGGGTCAAGGGGAGAAACTTGGAACAATGTTGCATTGCTATACAGCATATTTTCCAAAATGATTCACCCTGAAGGTTCATTTCCTTCTTGTCTGAGTAATTGGATACTTTGGACACCCTGCAGCTGCTTCAGGTGAGATAATAGCCAGTTATCGCAAAGTACCAATGCTCACGTTAATGCTTGTAGACTATTCTGGTCTTGCTAAATAGAGCACAATGGATTAGAAGATCCCTCCCCCTCCTGCTGTTTGAATTTTCAGCCTTTCCAGCGATGCTGGGAGCCTTATAAAGCTACATCCGAGGCTCTCTTGGACAACATTCAGTAGTGGATGGACTCAGCGAGGGGCATCAGCCTGCTTCAAAATGATCATACGCCTCTTTCTCAGTTAAGACGATGAAGAAACGTCTGAGCTTCTGCTTCAGAATAAATGTGAAGTCCTCAGCAAAGCAAATTTCGCACATATGTTAAATTTGGCCACAGTTCAGAATTCATGCACACACAGAGAGAGACAATGACACAAATCTGAATATTTTCAGTATAGTTTTTGACATGTGTTTGAAGGCTATATATATATGCGCTATAATATTGAAACACTTGTACTTTTTATGTTGCTGTTATTAGAGATGGAGGAGAAATTTGATTTGGTTTGCTTAAAGATGAACCTGCCAAATCTGTGAGCCGAAGCACAGCCATTTTTCAAAATTCACACTTTTTCCGCAATATTCAGAATTTTGCAATGCAATGCTCCAGCCAGGTAATTTGTACAAAAAAAATATTAAAAAATGGCATACTTTGGGGGTAAAGTGTACATAAAAATGCATATGCTAATGAAAGTAACATATAAGCACAAATGAATAATGTTCAGGGAAACTCTTTGCAAAAAAATGTGTTTATTAGGCAAAATTGAGAAATTCACACACACTCAAAAGAGTCTGTAAACTGCTGTGGAAATGTGAAGATCTGAATTTAAGATTAGAAAAATAAGAAACTGAGAGAAACCTCATGTGGCAGATTTACCCATCCCAGTTGCCATGATTAAGTCAGAGAACATGTATCACTGTAACACCTTCTTCTTGCAGTATTGTCATCTATGGCTTAGACTCTCATCAAATCCTACAGTATCATGTTTCCTGGCCAAATCCACAGCAAGCTTTAAGTGTCAGCTCCACAATTCACTCCTGTTCCTTCTCAGAGCTGAAAATGAGAAAGGTGTTGTAAATTCCTTGAACTCTCCCGTGGTAAAAGTAAAGGTAAAGGACCTCCGGACGGTTAAGTCCAGTCAAACTTGACTATGGGGTGCGGCACTCATCTCGCTTCAGGCCGAGGGAGTCGGTGTTTGTCTGCAGACAGCCTTCTGGGTCATGTGGCAAGCATGACTAAACCGCTTCTGGCGCAACGGGGCACCGTGACGCGTGCCAGAGCACATGAAAATGCCATTTACCATTGGCTAAGCACCCCTTGAGAGTCCCATGGACTGCAAGAAGATCAAACCTATCCATTCTGAAGGAAAGCAGCCCTGAGTGCTCACTGGAAGGACAGATCCTGAAGCTGAGGCTCCAATACTTTGGCCACCTCATGAGAAGAGAAGACTCCCTGGAAAAGACCCTGATGTTGGGAAAGATGGAGGGCACAAGGAGAAGGGGACGACAGAGGACGAGATGGTTGGATAGTGTCTTCGAAGCTACAAACATGAGTCTGACCAAACTGCGGGAGGCAGTGGAAGACAGGAGTGCCTGGCGTGCTCTGGTCCATGGGGTCATGAAGAGTCGGACACAACTAAAGGACTAAACAACAACAACAACAAGCACCCCTGTGGCCCCCCCACCCCATGCTACACCACTGAACTGGTTGGCAACTATGGAAAACAGGATGCTCGACAGCATAAGCCTTTGAGCTGATCCAGCAGAGATCTCATGTTTTTAAGGAATTTGATGCACAACTGCCCTAGTATCCCAGAGACACATGGCCACAGAGCTTTTGCGATTCATTCTCATCTCATTAGAGGTGTTAGTGGTCGAGACGGCAGTATTTGTGTACAGCCTGCCTAATTTGTGTACAGGCACACGTGCCTAATGCAAACAGGAACACCAGGGCAAAGGTGTAATGACCCCAGTTGTTGATTGCTGCAAAATATTTTTTTCCTGCTGTCTTTGTTCTTCTAAGAGCCCAGTGCCATAGGCCTTGCAGAGCAAGGCAGGAAATTAAACAATAACTTGTGTGATTAATGCTAGAGCCTCAGAGAGTGTCCAGAGAGCAGAAGGCATCAGAAACAAAGGTCTAAGGACAGCCAAGCACGTTTAGAGAGAGAGCGCGCACTCTATAGCACACAGTTAAGGTTGTTCCGTGCAATCTGTGTGTTCACTCTTTGCATTTAAATTAGGGGTATGCAGTGAATTCAGATGAGCACCGACTCTGGAATCAAAGCGGGCAACTTTGGACTTATTTCAGGAGCAATGAAGAACCCGGGCAACCAAATTAGAATCATAGCATTGCAAGGGGCCACGATGGTCATTTGTTCCAACCCCCTGCAATGCAGGAATATTTCACCCAACGTGGAGCTTGAACCCACAACCCTGAGATCAAGATTCTCATGCTCTCCCAACTGAGCTAAATCCAGTTGCGCACAGTTCAGTTTGAGGAAGGCAGGATTGCGAGGTGAGTCCCCCTGGCCCTACAATGGAAGCCTCGGAGCCAAGGTTGGCCCAATTCATTGAGTATAATGGTCTCAGAAGCCCTATTCACAGTTATTCAAACTGTGTGGACACATGGGTGCATATGCACTTCCCCACAGGGGCGGAGGAAGGGGGTACGGTGGGGGCATGCCATCCAGGGTGTCACTACTGAGGGGGGTGACAAAATGCCGGGCGGCACTCACCGCGGTGCCTGTAGCACACCTGAGCCACGGACCTTTCCTGGGAGTGACATGGTGGCTTGGGCGCCCACAGGCTCCGCGCTGCCCCAAATGGTCTGCCTGCTGCCTCCCCTTCAGCTGTAGGGTGGCTGAGTGGGAAAAGGCAGGCAGACTCCTCGGAGGCCCCACTGAGCATCCTGCCCTGGTTCACCCCGCCCCATGGGTGGCTGGCCCCACCCCTGGGCACAAGGCATGCGCACCACCCCAGGCCTCCGATCAATTTGCTCCACCGCTGCTTCCAGAGCCAGGCAGAGGCCCGGGCCAGGTAGATAATGTGCCCCCCTTTTTTCTCTTGTGCTGACAGCCATGGCCCCAGGGAATCCGCCCACCACCACTGCCGCATTTGCGCCTCTGTGTTCACCACAGTGCATCCCCTGAGGTTGTGAATATGCTGACCGAGGCCCCCTTTGGAATCGGAGGCCCAGGCCAAGTGGCCCATATGGCCCCCCCTCTGTCTGGGCCTGGCTGCTTCCCCACCCGTGATGCCTCCTGCCCCCAATACCCAAATAAGAAGGGTTTACAAAAGAGGGGAAGATACTAGTTGCGTTCAGCTGGATGTGGTTAGACTCTCCCTTCAAACATTTGGCCTCAATGTATGAAAGGTTGGTGGGGACAAGCCCTCACAGAGTCATTAGGGACATGTCTAGCACATACACACACACACACACTCACATGCTCCAAAACACAGTTTATAAGCTTTTATAACAGCTGTGGAGAACCCGAGATCCAAAGCCAAATGTGGCCCTCCCAGTCTATCTGGCCCTGTGGACTTTTCCCAGGCCACACCTTTTCCTAGCTCTTCTCCACACCCTTTGTGTAGTTTTGCCTTCTTGGAATGAGTCCTTGAACTGGGATAATCATGCCTTGTACACGCCTGGATGGAGACTGGAGAGATCTGTCAGAAACCTCTGACTTTTGTGTGGCTGAAATGTAGCTATATCACCACAATTTCTCCACCTAGATCTTCCCCAGAGTCCATCCACGTTTGCCTCTGGTCCTTGACCACCACTGGAACGTGGCTCCCAGGAGATCATCCATGCGGCCCTTGAGCAGCAAAGCTTTCCCCACTCCTGCTCTATAACTTAGAGAATTGGCATGAACTCAATTCAGACACATGGGTCCGAGCTCCGTAAATTTGCTCCTAAATTGCTAGTTGTATGCAGTGCTTGAAGATCCCACTTGTGAGAGTTGCCTCCTGGGTTTGCTAGTTCATTTGCTCACCTGGCTGGGTTCTTGTGCCTTTAAGGGCTGCCCAAGATGCAGAAATTAAATAGATGTGGCATGTCCACAGCATCCCATCTGTGTCCAGAGAATGTCTGCCTGTTCTTTCATTTTCTCATTTGTTGAATTAACATTTTATCAAGATTTTGACAGAAAGGAGAAGGGGAAACTGTTGCAGGAGGCAAAAGGACCATGGAAAATAATCAGAGAGCAAGGCTATCATCTCAATAATCCACAAACTCTATCTGCGACTCCAATAACAACAAAACCATATTCGTGCCCATGTTCTTTCTGGAAAGTAATGAAAGCCTTCTGTCTCACAGCCCAGATCTTATGCAGAGTTAATTTGACCAGTCTAGTGATTCTCTGCAGAACTGTCAACTCCCAAAGCTTACTTAGCAGGTTGAATGTCCACCTGTCAGGTTCCTGGTTAAAGGCTCAGAACCAGTGTTTTTCTTCTAGAGAGAAGGTGCCAGTACTTTGTACCCTTGGGTGTCCCTAGAAAAAAAAGCACCACTCAGAACTCTTACCAGAAACAGAAACAAAAAGACCCAATGGCAGCTCTAATCCATGCCCAAGGTTCACGCAGGAAGACTTCTCGAAGCTTCTCTTTACTTATGAACATTTGTACATGATAATGGAATGGTTTTTAATATGTCAGCAAGGTGTCTTCAGCAAGAGTCCATTTTCTGCTAGGGTTCGTTTCACCTCTGCAATGCCAAACCTGTGTCCAAAAGGTGGGATATGCTAATCATTTCACATATCTTCTGCACTAGATCTAAGCAAACCTACAGTCATAGTTGGTTGATTTTAAGCAACAATAACACCTGTATAGGTGTGTCCACTCTCTCTCCTGCCAGACCCTTCCAGATCACTAGGCAGCAAAAGCTTAGCTTGGAACCAATGGGTGAACTTCCACTTTTGCAACAGAACTTCCTCTCCTTGCCATTGCAATCACCCAGTAGTTATGGATATGCTTATTCTCTGTTAATATCCTCTATTAATCTTAATTATCTACCCTGATGCCTGTGAGTATGTGTCTCTCGAGTTGCTTCTTTGTATGTGGAGAAGGGTTTCCTTTGTGTCTGTCCTGGACCAACTGCAAATCAAAGCAAATTGTCTTAGGCTGCTTTGGATATTTCCCAAACAATCCCTAGCATCAGTGCCTTCTGTCCCAACTGCAATGTTCTTACAAGTCTCCCTGGTTGATTGGAAAGATTGGGACATTTGCGAGTACAACAGATTGTCTGATTATCCCTTGAGATGCCCTCAGTTGATCCCAACTAATAGCACGTAGCAAATACCAGCTAAATGAAATGCCCAGTGTATGTGCCACAGATTCTGTAATACAACACACACAGAAACACAAACATGCCCAGGGGGTATGTATACTAGGGTTGTGCACGGGCCCCCAAGTTCCCCTTGTATCTGTTTTTGTGCTTAAAAAACAACAACTCCTCTGATCTGAATCACTCTGTGCTCTCCCTGTTTCAATCTCTGATTTAGATTCAGAGCTACTTCCCACCCCACCCACCCATTCACACAGAGAGACAAAATATGACTATAACCTTTTTTTCATTTTTTGGCAGAAGCAGATGAAATTTGCAGGCACAGGAGAATGGATTAAGCCTGCCAAATTGCAGATTGAAGTTCCTATTCCTCCATAATCCATATTAGGATGATACATTTCTTAGGCAAACTAAACCTCCAAAATCAGACAGTGATCAGCTTTTGTCTCTTCCTCTTCCTTACTTTAAAATAATTAAGAGGTGGCCAGGTGGTGTGTATTCTAACTTGATTTTGAGTGGACAAAGGGAGAAGAGGGAGCAGACTGGGGGGAAGAGGTTTTGGAAGCCAAGCAAGTAACAGGATTTAGTGAGCAAGAAGAGGCAGTGGCGGAGAGCAATACAGACTCAGAGGCAGGAGTGGAGGAGTGGGTTCAGGAGACAGAGATGAGGCGGGCTGCTGAAGAATCTAGGGAGGCTTCACCTCCTGCTGTGACCAGCTCCCCCACCCCCCATGGTCTCCCATTACACAAAGGGGAATGATGAGGGCTGAGCAAAGGGAGACAAGATGAAGGAGACTCAGGTGGTTGTGGAAGGACCTGGAGGAGTCCCTTTGGAGAACGGTGGGAAGGCGGGGACCTTCAGTCCTCCTAAATGCCTCACTGGGGCACGATCTCACCTGAAACTGTGCAAGAGCTGCATAAGATCTCAGAAGATCTTGGCAGAAATTGGTGCCAATGCCGGTGCCACTTCTCTGCTGCTGGTGTAGGCAGCAGGGCAAGCAGGGCACCATTGGTGGTGGTGCCTTGGGGGCTTTTGTCACCTGAGGCCTCACCCCACCTAGTGGACTGGCCCTGAGTCAGGATCCAGTATCTGTAGAACATTTCTTGTGCACGATGAGCGTATCCTCCTCCTCATGCATAAGAAACAATAGTGAAAAAGATTGCAATACATATGATGTGCATTCACAGGCATAATCTGCATGCTCCAACATCACCACATTATAATCACTTAAAGGAGAAGAATAATGGGAATTGGGCTTGAGTGTGTAGGGTATATGGATGCTGGGATGTACTAAAAGGGATAGCACCCAGTTAATTTACTGTGCCTGACTATGGAATCCATGAATGTATGCATATTGTTTTGACAGTGCTGGCCATTAAAAAAAAATCATCAAAGAAGCAGCTGGAACCAGTGGAAAACCAACTGTTTCTGGAAAGTGCAGATAGAGGGTGCCTGTCATATCTCAACATGAATGCTATCCACAGAAGAGGGGCAGCCACACTAAAAGTCCTGGTCTGAGCTAGGGCAGAGCAGGTTTCTGAGATATTTGAAAATTGCAAGTGAGAGACTCCTGCAGACCACAGTGATCTATTGGGTATTTAAGGGATAAGGTAGTCTCTCCCTTATTATGGACCTAGCACTCCATGTCAAATGGAAAGACTACTATGGATTTTGGACCACTTTTCTCACACAGCATTCTTCTGCTATGTTGGAAATACGGTGGTACCTTGGTTCTCAAACCTAATTCATTCCGGAAGTCTGTTCCAAAACCAAAGCGTTCCAAAACCAAGGTGTGCTTTCCTATAGAAAGTAGTGCAAAATGGATTAATCTGTTGCAGACTTTTAAAAACAACCCCTAAAACAGCAATTTAACATGAATTTTACTATCTAAGGAGACCATTGATCCACAAAATGAAAGCAATAAACAATGTACTGCAGTCACACAATCAATCAATCAGTAGCTGAACTGGGTTCCACACAGTCACACAAAAAAGAGCAATAAAAATGTAAAATAAATAGCAAAAACAGACAGACCTCAGCATAACACTCAAACTGGAAGTATGGCACTCATATCGGAAGTGTAACTCTCAAAACGGAAGTGTGGCACTCAAAATGGAGCATGTTCGGCTTCTGAAAAATAAAATAATAATAATAATAATAATAATAATAATAATAATAATTTATTATTTATACCCCGCCCAT